TACAACAGCAAATGTACAACGTTTCGACAAGTTACCTGATGATGACAAAACCTTGTAGAAACGTTGTACATTTGAACTTAGATTAAAGTTTTTCTTCATTACCCATTCAAGCCGTCTCCAGCCATTATTAGTCTCAAAGTGGGTTCCTCGTCATCGAATATGTATAACAGGTTAATTATAAATAAATATTTATATAAGCATGACAGTTTCGAAGTGTATACTGGGAAGACCATGGATATCAGAGTGAAATTAATGAGAAAGATTATTTTATTTCAAATGTTTGCAAAAAGCTAAACAATTTGGAACTGATAGACTAGAGGGAAAGCATGTATTCAAAAACAACACCCGCCAACTCTTGAGCCACTCTAAGATTTAAACGTCACTCTTATAATCTGGTGTCACATAAAAATTTAATAGACAATGTCTTCCGCCTAAAATAAACACACACACACATGGTATTATTGAATAAAGGATTGTTTCATTGTATTTTTACTGTGTTTCCAATATCTTTCTTTTACGAACAGGTTCGGAGAATCTATAATTACTTTGCAATATATTTCCTGATCGGATCTTCTGTTATTCTGCGGTACCTTTTGAAATATTTCTCAAAACAATAAAGTGGCCTTCAACAATTAACTTATACATCAAAACTTGTTTCGGAAGAACAATTTACTCTTAAAAATAATTCATTGTTGTTGTTTTTTTAGAGCTACATTTTAAAAATTAAGGGTGTGTTTGAAAGTCTTCACAAATCAGTTAGACACTTTATGAGCAATAAGTTAAACTAAGTCTTCACAAATCAGTTAAACACTTTATGAGCAATAAGTTAAACTGAGTCTTTACAAATCAGTTAGACACTTTATGAGTAATAAGTTAAACTAAGTCTTCACAAATCAGTTAGACACTTTATGAGCAATAAGTTAAACTAAGTCTTCACAAATCAGTTAGACACTTTATGAGCAATAAGTTAAGCTTTTATGGCATTTTATTGAAATTTTGAACCCTGGTGTTGGTCATTATATTTCCTCAGTCTCCTTAAAGAACTGATTTGAATCCTGGTTCTGGGCATTATACATTATTTGGTACTTAGTCACTCCTCAGTCTCCTTAAAGAACTGTTTTGAACCCTTGTGCCAGTCATTATACTTTCTTTGGTACTTAATCGCTCCTCAGTATCTTAAAGAACTGGTTTGAACCCTTGTGCCAGTCATTATACTATCTTTGGTACTTAGTCGCTCCTCAGTATCATAAAGAACTGGTTTGAACCCTTGTGCCAGTCACTATACTTTCTTTGGTACTTAGTCCTCCTCAGTATCCTAAAGAACTGGTTTGAACCCTTGTGCCAGTCATTATACTTTCTTTGATACTTAGTCGCTCCTCACCATCCTAAAGAACTGGTTTGAGCCCTTATGCCAGTCATTATACTTTCTTTGGTACTTAGTCGCTCCTCAGTATCTTAAAGAACTGGTTTGAACCTTTGTGCCAGTCATTATACTTTCTTTGGTACTTAGTCGCTCCTCAGCATCCCAAAGAACTGGTTTGAACCCTTGTGCCAGTCATTATACTTTCTTTGGTACTTAGTCGCTCCTCAGTATCCTAAATATTTTTTCTAAGAAACGCCTTTTTGCCGTTGTTTACTTTTTTCTTTGGCGGCGTTGTTGGCAATGTTTACATTTTCTTTTTTGATAGAACTTTCCACGCCAGTCTCATTGTATATTTTCCAAAGAGGAATTGAATATTCTAAAGTTTCTTTTGTTTGCGGAATTTTTAGTCTCATCATATTTTTCAATCAGGCTTCTTTTCACGCCCCGAGAATATACATATCGCTGTATCTTCCTTTCTTCTCTGGCCTGATGATTAGGGTGCTCGACTCGCAATCTGTGGGCCGCGGGTTCGAATCAGCCGTGGGGGTGATATTATTTGACGGTCAATCCCACTATTCATTGTTAAAAGAGTAGCCCAAGAACTGGCGCTGGGTGGTGATGACTAGCTGCCTTCCCCCTAGTCTTTCACTGCTAAATTAGGGACGGCGAGCGCAGATAACCCTCGTGTAGCTTTGCGCGAAATTCAAATCAACCCTTTCTCTATCTTATTTATCCGTTTTTCTCGTGTTCAAACAGTGCGTTAGTGGTACTTTCAGCTCAGCATTCTTTGTTGACTTGCTTCTGCGAGGAGCAAAAAAATCTGTATCTCTGTTTTGACACACTTGTAGCCACCTGAGTGTTGGCTTATTACCTTATTTTGATATTTCAGAACTCTTTTATCAGAAATATTGATCTGAATGTTTTTTCAAGTTATATAAGTGCTTTTTACAATGTTTCATACTTTCAATATGAGTGAAAAATAAGAAAAAAAACAGTTTATACTTGTCAAATAGCAGCCCATTACATGAAAAATTGTGATTTTTTTTATTTGGTTGTTGTTAAGCACAAAGCTGCACAATGGGCTACCAGTGCTGTTCCCATCACGGGTATCGAACCCCAGTTGTTAACGTTATAGCCTTCCGACTTCCCACTGGGGAGGGGTGCAGGTATTAAACAAAAAATAAAATTATACCTATACTCACACATATGTATATATTCATCTTGCTTTCCTCCTTTTTTCTCTGAAGTATAAAAAGTATGTGTTTTTTTACATCTTTCTCCACAGATAGGATAGCAGTAAGTCTTCGAATTTAGTAGGATAAAATCAGGGGGTTCGATTCCCTTCGGTGGACACAGCTGATAGCTCGATGTGGCTTTGTTATAAGAAAAAGCACATACTTTTACACCTTTATCGCAGTTCTTCAAAAGGGGAAAACAAACTTCATTTTTTATCTATTTATTAACAGTATAAATATGGTATTTTCGATATTTTGGTTTCAGTAAAGTTGTGGGATAGAACAATTTCCTTTCTAACGAAAAATTCTAAATTGTAAACTTTATTCATTGTAGTTTTCTCTATGTACATAGTTATTTTATATATACTTCTACCTCTACTACGGAAAGTGCTTTTGTGAAAAACTATAAACATTGTGCAGTGTTTCCTCTATCAAATTTTCATTAAATTTGCTTAAGAAAATTCTTATTATAATTTCTCTTTTATACGGATACTTTCATCTTTTCTCAACTGTCGTATTCTCTGGTTCTAAAACGTGTACACTAGATTAGTGTGGAAACTTTTTTTTTTGCTTTTTCTTCCATTCTCTTGCGTTTCACAATTTTTATATCCACTTTTTTTATGTTTCTACATAGAATCGCCTGCCATCTAGTGGTAATGAAATAGCTCATTTTTTTTCTGTACATCTTTCAAGTTTAGTAATCTTCCGATAGTGAGAATTCAAGTGTTTCTCAGACAGACAGTTATTCTTAATTACTCATTTTCAGTTTGAATATTTAAGTGTTCAAGTTAAAGAAAATGGCGAATTTTATTGGATACGGGCCCAGTGATAGGGTACAAGACCCCACATTCTTCAACCCAGTACCTAAGCTGAGGCTTATTCTT